GAGACACACACAAATCCTAACACCATAGTTTTAATACATGTATGAGTATGTATAGGCCTAATATCAAACATTTGAGGTATATTTATACGATTAATAACAAAGAATTACGACAGCTGCCTAAGCCAACAAGGCAGACAGGTTTAAAAGCAGTACTTTCTTTAAGATTCTTTCTTGAGTTAGAGTGACAATGTTCCTGCATCTACAAATGAGAGTCGCTTCAGTTCAACTTCTTTCACATTATAGCCACGGCTTGCACCAGGAAAAGCCTTGCCCTTAGTCTTGGTAAAAAAGTAAAATATAACAGTTTAGTCAGGTGCAGTAACATTAACAATGAACTTCAATCTTGAACTTTACAAACATAGACCACAAGTGTAAAAGAGATAATCAGCCAAGGGGTAGGCCTAAATATTGTAAGTTTATCAAGAAGGATTAAATTCATTCTAATGGAAAAAAACAAAATAAAAAATATAATAAAGTCAACAAATATTACCTCCAGGCTGGATCTTTTCCCTGTCAATACCTTGCCGGCCAACATTTTGAACTTCATCTGAAAAATTGAAAGTCAGGGGATAACTTTGAAGTGACTTCTAAGAAGCCAAAAATGGTTTCCTCAACTAGGTGTAAACATCTATGTACTCAGAGTTTCAAAAGCGGGAAGAATATGTCGATTATAATTTGACTGTAAACAAAAATGTTGTTTCATACAATAAAGTGGCAGCCCATTTGCCTGGTGTCACTAGTGCAGATCAACTGCTTAGTGTAAGAATCTGTCATTTGCCACTTTTTATGAAAATCATTTTTTTTTACAGGCAGCATGTGAAATCGATAAATGCATTTGCTGGACACATTGTGTCAAATGATGAGCTCTCTATGGTTACTGGTTTTGAAGTTGCCACACTACAAAAGTTTGAACTTCATAAACTGGAAAATAAATCAGTGAACCAGTTTTTTTATTCTTCTGAACAATTTTCAGAATGACTTTTAGCGGAGTCTTACACTATGCAGGTGATATAATATATGCCAACTCACTTCTTTGATTCACCAGAGCATCTTTTTTCCCAACGCTACTTAATTACAGTACATTTATAACAGTTGCCCTGACAATCAAGCACAGTAAATTGACAAAAAATGTACCAGGTACAATCACAAACACACCTTGTACACACACACAAATCTTAAACTCTTTTCTCTCATCACTTTTTCCAGCCTTGGGATATCCCATTATTTCATGTAAAAGCCTAAAAGATATGCCAATATGGAAATTCTTTTTCAAAGTTTGAAATTTGCCTTAGTAATAGTTTCCCAACAGTTAACTTTACACGTTGAATCTTCATCTAAAATTATTGCAGGCGGTGGTATATATAGGAAGTTTACCCCTGTGTATACATGTTGCAACAACCCCCCCACCCACCCACACACACACACATACACCTAACTATATCACATTCTAGACAGATAAATTAAAACTAGGTACATATAAAAGTAACATTTCTCTTTAGTTCTTTCCTTTATAAACCAGTCAATAAGTCTGAGGCACAGACATTCAAAGATTCAAAGAAACACTACAAAATTCAAAGAAACACCTTGGGCTGAGTTAGTGATAGAATGAATATGTACAGGGAGAGAGGGAATATGTGTAAAGAGGGTATCCAGTTCAGACCCAGTAAACTGAGATAGAAGCTATATTATATAGCACAAGTGCATAGGTTTTTCATGTAACTCTTGGATTATGTTCAGGGGAGTGAATTTTTATCTAGCTTACGAGAGACCCAACTGAACAGATGTGGAAGATAGAAAAATACAAAACGACAGAAAAAGATGGTGGGACATCACACAGGCTCTATACACACAGACTCTATAAAATGCATACCATGTCAATAATAATTGTTTTGTGAGAAAAACAGGTCAACTGTTGTTGCTGACACACACTCACACACACACACACACACACACACACACAAAGTAAGCACTTGTAATACTTCTGCTCACGTCACCTTGTACAGCAGGGCGTGTCTGAGAACATTTCTGTTAAACATAATGAGAATACCCCTAAACCAAACCCCATGATACCATCAACCTTGGGACCAACATGAAGGCGGCTGTTTCAAGGGAAATGATTCTGCCTGGACTAGATGAAGGACAACATCATAATGATTATCTCCCTTCGTCCAAACCTTGATGATATGGCTTGAGGCTTACTCTACTTGACGAGCACTTGCTCGTAGAGTTGTGTAAGGGACATTATCACTGTGCAGCTGCCGATAAAAAGCCGGTTTCGCTGGAGGTGTTGTGAGGCAACTTCACAATAGGAACAAACAATTCAGGCAGTTGACTAATAACTATTTTGAGGGACAAATGAAGGTGTGTCCTTTAGTGCATTGGCAAAGCCTGGCAGTAAGCAGGGATACAACAGGGTTTCACAGTATAAACATGTATCACGCATGCACGATAATTTGATGATTGTGCAAATGTAATCAGGGGAGGTGATAGGTTATGGCCATAGACTTGTATAAAGACTAAGACTGAGACACTCCTGACACAAAATTCTCGTTCACCACGGAGCACACCATTTGACTCTATTTGGAACCAAATGAAGGGCAAGGAGGGAAAAGTAACCTATGCACTCTACTGTAGTGAGACTAATATGTTTTGCCCTTCCTTTGCATGCCCATGGTGTGCGCATCAACCCAGCAAAGTTTTTTTTATAGAGAGCAAAGAGTGGCAGCCATGCCCAGTCCAGTATATATAATTCAAGTCTATAGTTGTGGCTGAAGCTGCCATGTGCCCCCCCTCCCCCCCTCCACTTCCAGTGACCTCTGAACGTGGATCCTTCCTGATGTTGCCAGGCAAAATCTGGCTCCTGACTCACTTAAACTTTAAGAACGAGAGATCACTAGAGATCATTGAACAACTCTTATGGTTTGACTAAGATATGGACAGAGCAAGAATACAAAACAAAGTTTTCCCAGGTTTCTAACTTTAGATGGCACCTGTGAACCGGCCTGCTCCATCTTGCTCACGGCTGTTCTACTTGGTTGCCAGCTGACCTGATCGGGTCGTGCTAATCTGCCGTCCCTCAGCCAGGCCAACAGATGATCACCCTGACATCATGTTTTTTTATTCACATAAAACGGCACCAAATCTTATTACAGCCAAGATATTCAAAGAAACAATAATCAAAATAATAATCATAAAGAGATCGTATGCATGTTTTGGTTCTGCTATTTTATTTGTACTGGCCCACATGTAACCAAAACACAATTAGGAAATCAAATCCCTAGAGGACTTTGATTACGAGTGTATTTCAGTAGATAGTAGGCTCTGTGCAACCCCTAACTGGCATCATACCACCCCTAACTGGCATCATACCACCCCCTAACTGGCATCATACCACACCACTGTTTGGAACATTACTTGACACTATAAAACAGCTTAAAAATGTTTCGAATCTGCATGAAACTGGGAACAATCACCTCAAAGCTTCAAAAGCCAAATCATTGTGAGTAGTTGAAAATTCATGTGTGATAGTACTAGTAACAGTACTAACAGAAAACTATTAGAGTCTTGACTTTTTAGAAATTCTTTCAGAGAAGGAAAGGTGAGTCAAAGAAGAAAAAAGTAGGCTACTAGAATTACTTTTTATCCGTACGTCTTGTTTTACTATTATATTACCCATACGACTTGGGGAACTCTGTGCCACTACTTTCAAAGAGGAAATTTACTCGTTAATCCGATCCGTACGCTTTGTATAGCAGTCTGTCAAAATAATTTTTTCAGAAATACTGAAAGTTTCAAAGAGA